AACTAGACCACAGACAATAGTCAACATAGGGACTGTCATGTCATCTTCATATATAAATTAGAAACCTGTACTTTAATGTCTTTTACGCCGTCTGGCGATGCGGAAGAAACTAAATTTGGAGTTCTATAAAATTACCATTGAGTGTCTAGGACATGGCTGTCATATCCAAACTTTGTAAATTAAATTAAACAAAAATTGTAAATATGAATTTTTCAAATGAAGAAAAGCGTGTAGGATTATTGGTTCAACTTTTCTTGGCCATACATTTTCGAGGATACGTTGACCGGTGAATGTTACGTTCTTTAGAGAACGGTTTTTAAGACATATGTTAGAAAAGCTAAATTTATTTATAGCCAATTCTTAGTTTTGAGTTGCCTCTTTCAAAAGTGAATTACTACCTAGTCTCACAGAAGGACCGGTCGACTTAATTAAACTTCTCTCGTACCGCCACAACGAATGTCTCTCTTAATTCATAAGTTTTTTTGTAAACCTTATTGTTAACCATACCGCATGAAAAAATCCAAAATGGATAGGTCAGGTGATCGAGGAGGCCCATGCAATTGGTCCACCTCTTCCTATCACTGCATTATTATGATATAAATGATTTTTAACATTTCTTTCATTATGGGGGGCATAATGAAAGTCTTGTTGGAACCACTCTATTGATGCACGAGTATCTACATGCTCTTCTTAACTTGAAAAATGCATATTTACAATTTTTGTTTATTTTAATTTACAAAGTTTGGATGTGACAGCTTCACATTTCTGAGAGCAAGGGCGATTGAACTTGTTTCCATGGCTTATTAAGTGAAATTGTTTAAAAATTATAAGAATTGGCTATAACTCTGTAATTTTTCGAAAAAAACATATAGCTTATAACGCTGAAAAGCTTGAAAAATGGCGGTTTTTATGAAGTTATGGCCAACTATGGTTTCCATTTAAAAAAACATAAGTTTGTGTTATATGTCAAAAATGACAGACTTTAGAAAAAAACGGAGAACACAGTCTCGTTAAGGATGTCATTTTCTACAAATTTTATCTGAAAACTTTTTGTCTAAAATAGATTATAATGGAATTAGGGACAATTATTTTTAAAATAGCCGAAATTTGTTTTTTTCGAAATATCTAGTAAGCCATGAACTTTTTCAAAAATCTGCAAGTCGCATATTTATGACCCCACAAAACTGCAATTCTTTCCCCATTTAACCGACTCTCTATCTCCAGTAGTTTCCGAGATACCCATAGAGAACATCGTAGGAAACTCACCCTGTATAAGTTTTTTGGTTTAAGCGTTAAAATTACAATATAAAAATATTACAACATACATTTTGGAAACTATAGTCTGTCCAGCGAGAGGATGCTTGACAGTGACGGTTGGTTATATTGTAGTTTTAACGAGTATTTGAAATATTAGAAAATCGAAAAAAAGAGGCGTCATAGTGGCTAAACGTCAATCGATGGTGGATAATAATTTCTATCGGACCGATCCCAATATTATTAAAAAGCGGCATAAAAGATTTTCAAAAAATTATAAAAGTATTTACCGGGTGTATCAAATTCGCCTCTCGCCAATCTCGGAAAAGATAAGAGATTGGGGGTGACACAAATTAGGGCAGTTGCTTGTTAGTCAATATTCAATGATAATCCGTTTAGTAATCGAACTTATCTTGGTCATTTCCGGAAATATGGCAGAAAAACTAAAATATCCGGTTTTGGTTTTTATTTTTTTTACGAGTTTATTTTGACAGAAAAAAACTACAACTACATTCTCAAAGAAACTTTTTTAGCTTTATTCTTTGGTGACGTCAAAAATCACTTAAGACGTTTCGTTTTTCTAGGATCATCATCAACTTTGTTATTCTAAATAGAGACCTGGATTTTTCTTATTTTAGAAGCTTATGACCTCCCAAATACAATGATTACTTACTGCACTTACCCAAAAAATGTTGCGTGTTTTTTACACGCACGACATAACGAAAGAGACCCGTATACCCATCTCTCTCGAACACATTGCCTCTTACGAGAATATTATTCATTGTACCACATTTCTGGTGCAAGTGCGCTACATTACTGTATTTGAAAGGTCATAAGCTTCTAAGAAATTAAATAGCTAAACCATATACGTATTTAAAAAAATAAAGTTGATGATGGTTCCAGAAAAACGAAACGTCTTAAGTGATTTTTGAAGTTCAGAAGATGAAGCTAAGAAAGTTTCTTTGAGAATTTCTTAATAGATTTTATAGACTGTCAAAATAAACTCGTAAAAAAATAAAAACGAAAACCGGAAATATCAATTTTCCGCCATATTTCCGGAAATGACAAAGATAAGTTCAATTACTAAATGGATTATCATTGGGATCAATAACAGGCAACTTTACCCTAGATTAGGCCACCCTGTATCTCTTACCGTTTCCGAGATCCCAATGCACAGTGGTTCCCCTTAATGAGCTGCGCGGTCATAACTGTTAGATATCTAGATATAGCTTGACTGCACTTTTTTTAATAGAAATTGATAACAAATGCCAAATAAATGTATATAAAAAACTTAATGTAATATGTATTAAAAAAATTGGGCCCAGTTCGTGTGATTTGCATTTTAAGTTTAACTATTCGGAAAGGTATACAGATGGCACATATGTACAGGGTGGGTCAAATTCGACGCTTTTAAATGGAAACACCCTTTTCTATAGGAGATAGACAAAAACTAATATCAGTGTCTGGAGCTCAATTTTTGTCAAAAACATGATGGTGAAAACCGCATATCGATATCTGGTACCGTTTCGGAGTTACGGGGTGTTTTTCAAAAATATGCATTTTTGACAAATCGCTGTAACTTTTTTGTTATGGAAAATTTTGTATTTTTATGAAAACATTTCCAAAGCACCTTTTCACGTAGAATTTAATGGTTTAAGTATAATTTTTCTAAAATTAATAATTTAAGATTTATCAACAGAAAATTTGATTTTTTATATGGGACACCCTGTATATTTTTAATTTATTGAAAAGAATTTAAAATTACCTTTCCAAAAATATAACACACTTGATATTTTGCTCGATTCCTCTTCGAGATATAGAGTATATAAAAATTCGCCCGCTTTAAATAAGTAGGCTTTGAACGGCACCGGCTGTAATGTAAAAATTTTTTAGCTGTGAGCATCAATTAAAAGGAAAATAATATTTGCTATAAGAGATGCAGAATTTTATAACAATTTAAAATATATTTAACCAACATCAACACATTTAAACTATCTAATAACAATAAAAATAAATAGCAAACCAAGACATGAGATTTTGCTACAGGTGTTCAACATATCAACCGTCTTCTGTTATGGACAGACGGGGCAGTTTTTTGAATATTTCTCGCGGAATTCATTAACTCAGTGGGGGTGAAAGATACCCTATCATAACTGCTAAGTATTTCTAATTCTTGTCTAGATTATACGGAAGAATAAGGAACCTTTATTCTTCCGCAAATATATACACAGGATTAGATCCATGGGCACTAAGTCAGGCGGCCTCGACGGCCAACGGCTGGGATCTTGGTTAGCTATTCAATTATTCTTGAAATTGGCTGCAAAAATTTGCTGATAACTTCAGCGTTCAGAGGCGGTGCGTCGTCTTGCTGGAAAAATATGTTTTTCGGGTTCCATTAAGGGCATTTCATCAATAAGGGGTCCAAAGCCTACTAGTTAAAAGTGGCGAACTTTTAAAAATTCTGTATTTCGAAGGGATTATATCAAAATATCAAGTGTGCTATATTTTTGGAAAGGTAATTTTAAGTTCTTTTCAGTTAATCAAAAATATACAGGGCGTCCCAAATAAAAATCATTTTTTCTGTTGATAACTCTTAAATTATTAATTTTAAAAAAATTATACTTAAACCATTAAATTCTACGTAAAAAGGTGGTTTGGAAATGTTTTCATAGAAATACAAAATTTTCCATAGCAAAAAAGTTACAGCGATTTGTTAAAAATGCGCATTTTTGAAAAACACCCCGTAACTCCGAAACGGTAACAGATATTGATGTGCGGTTTTCACCATCATGTTTTTGATGAAAATTGAGCTCCAGACACCGATATTAGTTTTCGTCTATCTCCTATAGAAAAGGGTGTTTCCATTTAAAAGCGTCGAATTTGACCCACCCTGTACATGTTCTTTTCATATTGAAGAGGTCAAATTTATTTTAAATGTTGAAAAAATAAAAGAGACAGTTGTTTCATTTTATAAATACAATTTTATTGTCAATTGATATACAGTGTGTCCACGAAATAAGTTGACACGAAGAGGAAAAAATAAGTTACTTTTATTTTAAGACAAAAAGTCAAATAACCACCCGATATAAGATCCGGCAGCAATTCGTGGCAGCCAGTGGCAATTAATTTATATGCAATATACTTTAAGCAACAAGTATTATCATGCCGTTTAAAGCTTGATTTTCATGCATCCGTTGTCCGACGATACGATATTAATTTTATTGGTTGAATTTAAAGACTTCGGTTGGTTAGAAACAGTAAACCAATCGAAGCCTTTAAATACAACCAATGAAATTAATATCGTATCAACGTATCGTCGGACAACGGATGCATGAAAAGATGCTTTAGAGGATTTGAAAGGGAAAGTGGTTAAAAGTCTTAAAGAGTGAGAAGCAAAAATGTAAAAATACTATTTTTGTTGCCTTCAAATAAATTGCCATAAACTAATATTACTTAGGTTTAATTAAGTGAAAAAAAGAAAAAACAGTTCTTTTTACCTTCTTTTCAAACGTCCATTACAGAAAAGGCAACAGCTTTTATCAATTTTAATAAAATAAGTAATTAATTGGCTTTATCTGAAAACTGTTTATGACAGCTTGATACCAGTAGCAAAAATGTGACATTTGTAATAAAAAAAAGCGCTACACTAGGCTTACTTGATTTTGTTATTTATTATGTATCGTTTACAGGGGAATATAAGAAAAGTATTATATAGCAACAGTTTCATGCAAACATTTTGAAATTAATATTTCTAAGTAATGACCTATCTGGGAACCACTGTGCAATGGTGAGAGTCGAATTTGAAACACCCTGTATGTAATAGGGGTCGGTCAGACAGAAATTATCATCCATTGTCAGTTTTTATTCAAACATATAAAATTTAAATTAAATCACGATCAGTAAAGCTCGAAGAAAAACGTTATTTCGACGCCTATTATGAGGCCTTTTTCATCTGCGAAACTAAGTCGATTCGTGTTTTAAACTATTTACAAATTGTAACAAAACTAAGCATTTCTCTTATCTGAAATCGGCTAGATCCACTATAGAAACGTTTGTATTGAATTGAAGTATGTCCTTGTGAACGTGCTGGAGAGAGACGTGAGACATCGATTCGGAAGTCGGATAGAGATAGTAATACTTGGCTTTGTTGTCGCAAAATTCCTTTAAGATCTTTCGAATGAGCATTTTTTTCGTAGTTTGTTCGATTTGGATGGCCAAAGCCACGAGAATCAGCTGAGGATTTTTTTTCAGTAGGGTCTCTAACTCCGTCTGAAATCGCGTATCTTCGTGTTTACAATTTACGTATATTCTTCTTAGTTTACACGAGTTGATTTCGTTCAAACCTTCCAGTAAGGATTCCAAGTTGATTTGTTCACTCTCGATACTGCAAAACATAAAATTAAGTTAAAATTATCACCCTAAATTTCTTGATACAAAAAAATAAATGTATTAATAAGAAGTCTATTACGCTGTACCGTTCGGGTTGCTCTCAGGGGTCGGGTAAAGCGGGTGTGTGGCCGAAGAAAATATATATTATATTTCAGAAATCAGCCTAGACTTAGCCCGATCCTGTCGTGTTAAACCATGCCCAAAATTCCAAACACATGTGCTTTGATTAAGGCTTCATTAACGTTTGCAGAGCTTCAGCATTTGCCATATAATAGCGAGCAGTTTGTTACAAAACCATATAAATTATATATCATTGTAATCACAAAACTTCAATCTATTTCCGTATTGTAAATTGTAACGGAATTTTAAATTATGTCTTTATTTTCGGGAAAATTTTGTCCAAACATTGGGAATATTTTGTTGATGTTTGACCATCAAAATCTTGAAAATAAAGAAGTTGTCCAAAAATGTGCTACAATACGGATATAGTATAATCCTTTATCTTTAATGTCCTTCTTCATTTGTGTAAAAATACCTAGCCAGTTTTACATAAAACGTTAAATACCGAACGCTTATTTTGCTACTTTTTCGGACTAGTGAAATGGACTCTTAATACGGCATCGCAATGATTAGAATGGCCACTGAGGGAATTCCACTCCTCCAACTACCAGTAGATACCAAGAATGTACAACTTTAAGAAACACCTCACTGTAGAATTGAGCAATAACGAGAGTACGATAGCTCTTCACTGGCGCTGTACTGGACTATGTTGTCTACACGTTTACCTTAGCTGATGTCAGTTTCACTGGTACGCTAGCTCTTGACTCGGGCAGAACTGGCTCAGATTGTTTAGACGAGTAAAGATGTTAGTAGAAAGTTTTTTTTATCTGTGATCAATTGTGAGGTTATTTATTATCTTGTCACATGCCCCCCATTGTCACTTAAAAAAATCAATTAAAAAAAACTCCGCTGTTAAAAATTAAATGTATACAGAAAATGTCTACGTTATTATTATAGAGATTATTATGAAGTCATTATTATGGTTCGACTGTGCTCTTGAACCAATTATAATTTCAAACAAAAATAATAAATAATAGATAAAAGATCCCATGAATACAGGTTGGCGTTTACTTTAGGTACATATACGTTTCGCCCAGCACCAGATCTTTTTTTTCTCAAATTTTTCATCAATCAATCATTCAATTGTATCTATTTCTAAATAATATATACTTCTAATATTCTTTATTTTGACTTTAATATTATATAACTCCTATTCTTTTGATTCCTTCATGATTTTTTTTTTGAAATGAACACCGATGCATTGTCTATTTTTATATTTTAATATCCCATAAGCATTTTTGTTCTCTCTAAAGCTGAATAAGTTTGAGAGTGTCATTTTCAGATAGTTTTCTGGCCATTCTACTACAAATTTAATAATTTAATTGCGTATACACCATGTATACACACACCAATTAAACTTCAGGTTTTATATTTTTGCTTTATTTTGCACCCTTATGCTTGTTTACAATTCGCAACGATTGCAAACTGGCTAATATAACGCAAAATGCAAGAAATGACGTGGCTTATATCACGTTGTAACGCTGAGAAGCCAACTCCATACTATACCCCATTTGGCGCATTATCCTATTTCATTTAACACCGCGTTAGAGACATCTTACATCTTCAATGCTGAAGTAAGCTTGGGGGCGGGGCTTAGAGTCCCTATGCCCTCTACATGGTATATTATGGAAATACGCGACCCGGCGCACGTTTACGCGCACGCCTGCATTTCGGCCGACAACGGTTTTAGAATCCCACAAATACGTTTAAATAAACATTATATATAATATTTAAACGTATTTGGAATCCCCAAATTACGCCAGTGTCTGAACAGAATGACATATCATATGTCAACTTTTGACATTTTCGCATATAGTTTATTTGAAATTGTAACATGCGGTTCATAACGACAATTTGACTCGAAATACCAAGTGTGCGGTACCAAATTATTCGTAAAAAAATTACTTTTTCCAAATATACTAATGGGCTATCCTCGTTCCATTTGAAAAAGTTGAGGTATGATTAAAAATACAATTTATCTTTTAGCCGGCCAGGAGAAGACGTTAAAAACATTGACAATCAAATCTATTTTTTCAAGGCTCCTTGATTAAAAATTAGTGTTTTAACACAATCACATCACTCTGAAATTTAAAATAATTTTTTTAAGCAATAATGTTAAAAGTTGAAATATATGATATGTCATTCTATTCAGAATGTCATATTCTATCGAATAAAGTAATACCGATTTTTTCTACAAACTAATGTCAAGTCGTATCGATTGCTCCAAGACATTTGAGGTCACAATCATTGCTACATTTAAAGACATATTCAACTTTGAACCCCTCTGGCGAATATTTAATAAATAAATAAATATACTTAAATATACTTACGAGAAATCTTCTAAATATTTTGCATCCTTTAATGCAAGTGATAAATTCCGATTTAACATTTCATTCGTTCCACAGCTAAGAACTTTCAGGTACTTCAGTTTTTTACAATTTTGTATCACCTAAAAAATTAGAAATAGTTTTAAACTTAAGCGTAATAAAAATATTTTGTTTTAAACTGTATACCTTTATGAGGAAATTGCCATTAACAAAAATAGGTACTTCGACAGTTAACCTTTCCAAATTAACTAACTGATTAATCAACATATAGCAATCCGCTATAGTGACATTACAACTAAAACAGAGTATCGCATTTAAAAGATTTAAATTAAATTAACATATAATATAATGTTTACAATGTGACTTCCGATCTTTCAGTCGAAGAATCGTTATCATTACTACAAAAAATAATACGGAATAATAAGACATGTATTATCGAATAACAAGACTAAGGAAGGAGTGTATCTACAATTTTTTTTTTCAATATGGCGGCCGACTTAAATTCCCGTTCATCAAATGGCGTTCTATTTTTTTTAAATGTATAGGAAATAGTAGGCTTATGTTGAGTCAATTGATGCTATATATTAGTTATTAAAATTAATAAACGTAAGTATTTGTGACAAAAATAAACAAATCAATATAATTATTTTAATAATAAATGCACAGATACGCTACTGAACAACCTGAAGAATCAACCTGAGGAATCAACCAAGTAAAACTGACGTAGCCTAATTATTTTTGACCACAAGTAGTAAATAAATGCGAAAATGCAAGAATAAAAACATAATCAGGTAACAACGAATATTAAAATTGGTTTACTAAAGATTGTTCAGCCATCGTTCGCCGTTACGTCATCATTATATATCAAATATGAGTTTTAAGGTGGGTCTGAGGGTGCAGCCACACTATCCTAAAAACGGCGTATCGGCGTAACGGCGTAACGACCTTGAATCGATTTCCAGTAATTCTATTGGCTGAAATTTTTGACAGATGAATTTGACAGATAAAATTTCTGACAGATGAATGTTTCAGCCAATCGAATTACTGGAAATCTATTCAAGGTCATTACGCCGTTGCGCCGTTTTTAGGATAGTGTGGCTGCACCCTGAGATCCAGTTCATATTGTTTACAAAATTTTAAGTACGTTCCTATATTACTGATTGAGCGAGTTTTTTTTTTAAATTAAACTCACAACATAGCAATAATTACTTTGAAAATGGACGTTTTAAACACTTTTTGGAATTTTTTCATTGAGAGCGGTTTAGATTTTGAAAGATTTTATAATCTTTGAAGATTCTGACTTTGACAAGAGATATGGACAAGTGAAAATTATTTCTGTTTTTGTTTGCGGTTGTTCTTAGCAACCGCTATAGCAGCGCCGGATCGCGTATAACGGTCGCGACCCAAAACAATTTCGCGACCACAGACCACAAACACTTAGATTGGCAACTCTCATCATTTATTGAGAACGCGTTTTACAGCGCTCGGTGAGTTGAAGCAGTACTAAATCTTCATTTTTCCCGCCAGGTGCTGGGAATTTAAAATTGAATTGCATTATTGCTTTTTTACGAAACGTGAAAGTATTAATACTGTTTTTTTTTTGTTAGTTTTCTGTAAAATATAACTTTTTTTTACAGAAAACTAAAAAAAAACAGTATTAATTCTTTCACGTTTAGAAAAAAAGCAATATTTATGTATATAATATTTCTAATAAGACTGATACGGAACAATAATACAAAAACCAATATGAAACACAAAAATTTTATTAAAAATCATCAAATAATACTATAATATTATCCCTTCAACATTTGAATAAAAAATAATTCGTTATATAGATTAGTACCTTACGTTATAGACATACACATTATACAGACATTTTACATTATAATATAAACAATATTTATCAACAAAAGCAATAAAAACATTAAACTTTATAAAGGGACTTGTTTAATTTTATTTAAGGCTTTTATGTTTTACTTTATTTTTTTAAAATACTTCAAATGCAAGTTTTTTAGAGGATCTCCTGGACTTGCATAACCCTAAAAAATTCTACATATACGAATTTTTTAAACGTAATAAGTACACTTACCTCTTTATCAACACACAGCAATATAACACCATTTTTAAAAAGTCAACACAATAACACTTCGTAACAATTACAAAAATTTAGATCAAACCACGAACAAGCCGAAAGGACGACGGGGATAGACTGAAGATTTTTAAAATTCAGCCGGTCGCCCCCCTTTTGACCAGGTACCAATCATAAAACAGAAAAATTCTTATTGGCTGTCGCTTTCTCCCGCCAGGCGACACTAGCGCACGGTGTCTTGAAGTCGTACTAATTTCGTGGTTTGACGTTTCGCGGAGAGTGCGCAGGGCCTGTTCGCGACCTAAAATTTTGACGGGCATTCCCTTATAAAAACTATGCTTACATTTTTGCTCTTTACTATCAAAAGCAGATAAATTTTCGTGGACCCCCATTAACATCTTATGGACCCCCATTTTTTGTTCACGCCTACGTAGACCCCCAGCAAGTCTCCCGTGGACCCCTGGGGGTCCACCTGGACCACTTTGGGAATCACTGACCTAAAGGAACGACACGTCCCTCCTGATATATACCACTTTGCGCAAAATCAATTAAAACAAAAAATAATCTAAAATAAACACGAAAAGACAACAACAAACTTTGTATCAACTCGAAAAATGTGGAACAAAACTGACAAGAGTCTCAATATGGTTACCATGACATCGCTTCTGTCTCTTTAATGGACGAATATAAAAATAGTATTAAATACGCTCATTCCCTAGTTTATTATTCTAATTTTTATTCAACGGATTGAACAGTACTTTACCTGGAACAGCTCATTATTTCAAGTTCTTCCAATTTACTACAGTTTTCAACTATATCCTGAAACGGGTAGATTCTTTCGAGATTTTCTACAACGTGATCTTTCGTAGGAGGTGGTTTTCCTTAAAAAAATATATTTGCTTATAAAAATATTATCGCATCATAACAAATCGTTTACTTTGCAATACGCAGGATTTTATACAAAGTTTTTTCAGGTTTCTCGAGTTGGGTGCTTTGAGAAAATCCCAAGTTGCAGTTATAAAGTTTATATTACAGAAACATTTATTGTGACAAAAATTCAGTTCCTCGAACTGCGCGTCCTTCACGTTCCTGGTCATGTAGATTTTCTAAAATAATACATACAGGGCGTGTCAAAAATACAGTTCATTGCAACGTTTATTTTAGCAAATTCGAAAAAACCGTTAAATAGAAAAAATTAAGGGTTTAATTTTAAGATAAACAATTTTAAATTATGTTTGAGTATACAGCGTATATGTAAAGGATATAACATACCGGGTGTTTCAAATTCGACTCTCGCCGTTAGGACAATGAAATCTCGGAAACAGTATGAGATACAGGATGGCTTAATCTAGTGCAAAGTTCAAATAGGAGGTCATAAGCTTCTAAAAAATGAAATAAAAAATCCAAGTCTATATTTTAAAAAACAAAGTTGGTGATGGTTCCAAAAAAACGAAAGTCTTAGTCTTAAGTGATTTTTGACATCACCAAAGGATAAAGCTCAGAAAGTTTCTTAGAGAATGTATTTGTAGATTTTTTCTAACTGTCAAAATAAACTTGATATATTACTATATTTGATATCAATTAAACTTTTTTATAATCGAGGGCGCGATTTTTACATTCGTTGTTGCCAACCATGGACTTATACAGGGTGTCCCAGATATAAGTGCAAGTATTTTAATGGGTGGTAGATGTCGATAAAAGAAACATATTTTCTCTTTATCGTTTTTCAAATAAGTCCAAAATAACGGAGTAAGATTTTTTTGCTAAAATTTTGAAAACCACTGGGTCTTTTCTGGATTTTCTTTCTTGTAAATTTTATCTAATACCTATGTTGCCATATTATCAAGAAATTATATTTTTTAACTATAAACTAAAAAAGAAAATTCAAAAAATTTCGAATTTTCAATTTTTTTTTCGCGAAAAAAAAATCATAGGCAGCTGGGGTTGAACTATACTGCCAGTTAAAATACTTGTACTTATTTCTGGGACACCCTGTATAATATGACTTTTAAAGACTCTTGTAGGAATGTGTTTAAAATTAATAATATATTAACAGTGTGCATATATGTAGGAGAGCATAGTTTTTTTTATTTAACAATAAGTCAATTTTTAAAAAATATTCACAGAATCATAACTATAATACAAGGACACTCAATTTTGACTTTCCAGTTCACAGATTTACACTGACGGAAAAAGGTGCATATCACATGTGCATAAAATGTTTTAACAAATTACCGAGGGAAATTAAATGCATTCAAATCCATAGAGTATTTAAGAAAAAAGTTAGAAAATTGTTAATTGACTTAGAACCATATTCATTAAGTGATTATTCCTATGGATTATTCGAATTAAAATAATATAGGGTTACATTGTTTTATTTGACGTCATTTCATTTTGTTTTCATTTGAAGCCACCCCGTATCACTTTCCGTTTCCGGGATTTCACTAATGAGTGCCTAATTTGAAACACGCTGTATATATTTTTCTATATATTGTCATTTTCTGTTAAGCTTACCTCAGCGGCTTTCACATCGTAGGGCATTTCACAATAAAACCTACGAAGTACGTCCCAGGCTATTTCGAGTTGAGTTTCGAAGGGATCAAATATGGAAATATTTTTTAAATGAACTATTTTGTCTTGAGGACACTTTACTAAAAATATTAATGAATTTATGTACTTAGTATATAAAACTCTATTGGTACTTTACCATAGATTATAACAATCGATTTAAATCGTCTACTTTCAAAAATTTTAGCCATTCCAACAGGTTTATAGTCGAGAAATGGTATGCTTATTTTCGATTTTATCACTAATTTATTCAAAAATTGCAATTTATAGACAATCATGTCATAGTTAATTAGCTCTGAGGGACGTTCTGTTAGATCCTCAATCTGAAATTATAACTATGTGTTAATAAACTTATAAGAAAGCAAATAAAAACACTAATTACCCATAATTCTCTTAAAGCAAACAGTTCTTTAAAGATTCGATACAAATTTGTTATATTTCCCCTTCTCGAAGTCACTTTAAGACAGAATCTCTTTAAAAGGAACATATGAACCTTAACTAAATTAATGTCAATGTTACAATCATTTACTGATGCGCAAACTGCCAAAACCCTAAGCTGAAAATAGTGTGATAATTATGAGATAATAGAACAGAAATTTGCACATACGTTTCCATAAAGTTTGACATCTTTTTCTCGTAAACTTAAGTTTGTTTCCAAGGCAAACAATTCTTCTAATTTAGTTAAAAGGCTCAGCAAACTTCTTAAATCTTTTAACGGAACCCAATAGAGATTATTTATGTTTAAGGACCTGATATGATCATATTGGACTTTTTCTTTAATGAATTTCACAAAATCGACTTCTACAAACCTGTAATTTCCTTGCACATCGAATTTCCTTAAAACAAAAATACCTTCAGTGTATAAAAAGAGTTTATTCACATAAATATTTCATTCATACTTTACTATACTTTTGTCAGTTAGCAAATACTCCAATTCCTTAAAAGCTTCACAAAAGTTTATTAAATCAGTAGCAGAGAGATTTTTAAAAATTTTACTCCATATCTCAATAGGAAGATGAATCATTTTTAAATATCAAATAAAAATTTGTTTGTTATATAAAAATTTCTTTCCCTTTTAAAAAAAATATTTAGAAAGTCAAAAAATCAGCTGTGTTATTTTTTTAGTTGTCAAAAACAGCTGTGTAATTTAACGTAATCAGGAGCGCCACAAGTGAAATATCATAAAGAAATAATTTATGTTCATGTTGGTCTACCTGGGTGGAATTCCTAAAAAAATTAACATAAAAGCCAAAGTTAACACATTTTTATTATATAGTTGTTTGAAAAATAATAATCTACAATTATTTGAAGCAAAGCAATAATTAAAATGTACTTTTAAACGTTATTTTTGGTTTTATTTCAAAATTCGGGGCGTAGTTATTCCGAACGAACTTACGTAAAACGTTTTCGAACGTACTTAGATATAGATACGTCACTTGTCACGTGATGCATCAGTTTTTTTGTGAATGTCGAAGTGGAAGTAGCTTTCGTTGGATTTTAAATAAAGAAATTTGTATTTTTCACTTCATTTTTGGTGAGTATTATTTTATATTTAATTCTACATATACGGAATGGTACTGAAGACGTAAGATATATAAGGATTTGTAAATAGAAAGCTTCTTTTTTGGCTTTAACGTTAATACGCCATTTCTGTTATTTGACAACCATATGATGAAATGGCAAAGCTCGTGTAAGTTATTATTAGTAAAATTCGTTACAGTAGTGCAATAGAGCTATTTATTGTTATTTCTGAATATAAAAAAATGTTGTTTGCTAAAATTTCCACAGATTTAAGTTAAAGCTTGTTGATTTTTTTAATCAATTTCCAAGAAACTATTGTGCAATAAAAATCATGATTTTCTTTATTGTTTCTGTTGAAAAACGCATATTTGATGAGTGTATTGTGATAACAACGTACATTATTTATTTTAAAGATGCTTTTTATTGTTTTTTAGGTAAAAACTAAATCAAAAGTGGACTTTTCATAGTTGGAATCTACAAAAGAAATGGTAAGTGAATTCAAATTAGAACCTTAAATAGACGAAACATTTTTACACTCCAGTGATATTCTAATGCCCGGCTAGGCTAGACAATGCCATTGTCCCATTGTCTTACCCGTTTCCTCATAACAAAAATATAAATATTTCATTAGACACATTTGTCCTTGGATTTTGCGAAATGTCACTAGCAATGACTACGATTTTTTTCCATTTAGCATTGGACAAGTTTAAAAAATACGCTCGTTTACAAGGCCAGAGAAAGTGTAAAAATGTGATAAAACGTGCGTTTGAACCAGTTCTTATGAGTATCTTTCGCTTGGTTATTTTGATTATAACAGTGATGTGTCAAGCAATAAAAAAATAGTTTAAACATGATTAAAACGTGGTCCTTGAGAGAGAGTCGTTAGATTTTTATTACCTTGATAGTAATTCATAAGAAAACATTAATTTTTATGTTTATTGATATAGTTGTATCGAGTTATTTTCAGCCAGCAGAATGAGTTCATAGACATGGTTAAAATGAATAGTACAGAAAATTACAAAATTTTTGCTTTTATTTTGCTGGATTTGAAAATTTGTCTCATGAAAAATAATACTATAATTTCATAGAAAATACACGTCTGTCATTTACAAGCACGAAGGCCCCGTCAGACTCACAAGTCAGGGAGTTAAATGAGGAGAGGAAATGGCATTGTATAATTGAACATGCCGAATTTAGCGTGCCTGACGAGCGTTGGACGAGTCTGGCAAGGCTTTCGGGTTGTTCCACATCAGCCAGACTATATTTACACCTGCAATTATAATATAAACTATCATTTGACAAATGTTTTAGGACTGCGAAAATAAGGGCGATGGTTTCAATAATTTTTATCCAATAAGTCTCACTAATAGAACTATTTTTATCGCTGTTCTTTGAGACTTTTTTACGTTCTTTTAAACTTTTTTCACCCTGGTAAAACTTGTATTGAGTTATTTATTGCAAAAATGGAAAATGGGGAAAAGTCCTAAGGCCATCGACACGAATGGCGTCTGTTTTGTTGCTTTGTCGTTTTCAAGGACGTTTTTATTTATATCCCGACGCTGTTCATGATAGATATACGCACATACGTGTTGATAATTATATACTTACCTACTCGACGCGTACAAAGAGCCCCGTCTGCAGTTCCGCCCCTGAACGGTGGGATTTTTCTCTTAAGCCCCGCCCACACCTGACGTTTTACCTGTCAGTTTTCCGGATATTAAATGCCGTGATTCCGAAAATCTCGAAAAAATTAAAAGCCGAATCTAAAATGATTAGAATTTTATACACTTTAGTCTTTCTAAGATCATATTTTATAAGTCCTGAAAATCAAAAGGCCTTTCTATGGCAATATAATTTCGATTTCATTCTTTGATAGACGCGGTGATTAATTTTGATTAACGTCATATTTTTTTCTGTCGTTAAAGTATCATATTTTCCAATAATTATGACCATCATTTCTGTAGCATTGAACTGAATAAATTTTGTGCTTTTTTAACATTTTATAACGGCAAAAAATATGGCGTTAATTAAAATTTCATCAATACCGATATAACCTTTGGATATAACAAATAATGAAAACGAAATTATATTACCCTGGAAACGCATTTTGATTTTTAGGTTTTAGAAAAAATTCAACTAGTATATTTTCATGTTTTTTTTTAAATTTTCTCTTAAACGGTATGAAAATTTTGAAAAGTATAAACAAGATTAACCTCGGGATTAACCATTTTAGAACAAGCAAACATTTTTAGCCGACCATACCAACAGGTATGGTAGGCTATTAAGATCGGCAAAAGAAAAGTTTTTTTAATTTCATTCAAAATGAGTTATTTGGGTCATAAATGACCTAAATACAAAATATTTTCATGGTGTCTGTCTGTCTGTCCGTCTGTCTGTAACACGATAACTCAAAAACCGATAAACCGATTTTAACCAAATTTGGGACAAAAATACTGTGCACCCGAGAATCTGGCCATTAGTTTTTGGTGGGGGTGGGGGGTTGGTAAGGGGGTATGGGAGGGGGTTAAAAATTTTAAAAAATCGTAACTCCAAAATTACAGTAACTAGCGAAACGCGGTTTTCAATTTAAGATTAGGAATATTTGCAACCAAATTTGTAATAACATCAAAATCAGCCAAAGTCGCAGTTTTTGTGATAAAAAAAAATATGAAAATATTGTTTAAAAAATTATAACTCAGAACCAAAACAGCTTTATGTACGGAAATATATTTTAAACAAAACTTAAGATAATATCAAAGTGTGTCGAAGCCGTAGTTTTTGAGATAGTTAAAAAACTTATAAAATGAAAAAAAAAATAAATAGGAAAAAAATAAAAAGTTTTCCTCCCAGCAGTTGTGTCAGTTTTTAATTACTTAGTTAAATTAAAAAAAGTTTTAATTTCCATTTCTACTTATCTAAAAAAGTTAATAAAAATCTCAAAAAAATATATAAAACTTATTTAAAAAAAAAACAAAAAAAAAATCTGTGTGGAGAACTCCAAACTCCCATCAGACGCGACCCCAGGTGGCGGATAGGGGAAATAACCGCGGACCAAAATTGGAAAAATTCCTTTACTTTGAAACTAAAAGAACTGCCTACTAACTTTTCATTAACATATTTTAGTATGGGCGGCTATACGTGCCTCCCGGCGCCAATTTTTTTAAAGACAATCTGGGGACATAACAGGGGATCTCGATCCCGAAAATTGGAAACGCTAATTATGGCGAAATAAGGTTTTAAACAAAACGTTTAAAACATAACAACCGTGGTTAAAGCCCTATACAATTAATCCTAGAGTTTTTTTACTAAACATTTGCTGAGTTTTTGCATGAAATAAATATGCATATTATATTGATTGGATACCCTGCCATTCTTTAACTAAGCGAATGACAGGGGGGGGGGAATAACACTGAAATAATAAACGGGGGAGTTTATTGTCAGCGTCGCTTAGTGACGCTCTTTGGAAAAGGGATAGATAACTCCCAATTGGCTGGTCCTGAGAGTATCATATGGTTTGGTTTGATTTAAAATTCTACCTGTTTTATAAAGTCATCTAAAAAATCAGCAAATATCTAGAATGATGGAGAAATTCATCAGAGCGAAAAAGTTCATATAGTAGAAAATTTACACATGCAGATTTGATAAGCAAAGTTAGAAAGATGGTCAAAACTGTAGTGGGTCTATTAGCAGGGCATTACTAACAGGGACTGAATAGGCATCTAAAGCTGATGTTAAAATCTGTCCAACGACAAGATCCTTGACAGTAATAGATGTGTCTGTCATTTTAATTTCAAAGTAGTTTATTTTATTTTACAAAAAAATAAGTTGGTATAATTGAAACGCATAGCAGGAAATTAATATATTTAAAATTTGAGTGACAAGTGCTTATTTCAAAATAATTTGAAATAAAACTGTATAAAACTGAAAAAATCTAATCGAGTTATTTTATTAAAAAAAAACGGTATGTGTGAATACAAAACAAACAAGAACAAAACACCATATACCAAAAAATATAAAAAATAACTATTTCTTACTTTCAAGCTTCCCGCATTTATTATTATATTTATCAATATAACTTTTGTACAAATACAAATTTGTAATATTCCACAGGAATAAATAAAACAACATAAATAAAACAAACTATTTTATTAATAAACACTTACCAAATTTTATAATATAAATATTTATATTATAAACACCCGTACTAACACGAATCAGAATGCATCATCTTCCAAAACGCAGGGTATTTGACATAAGTTGACACAAAATTATAACCTATAATTTGGCAAGACTTTGACAAGCCTCAAAAATCTAAAGGCGAGTTCATACGCACGGGCGCGCGGCGCGGCGTCCATTTGTCGTTCATCGTTCCGTTAAACCAATAAAATTGAAATATGGTCTGTCATTTTTTAAATAAACCAATAAAACTGGTTAAAAACAACAAGATACGACGTATAACGGATTTATATTTAAACCCATCCATAGTTAACTTAAAAAATATTAGAAACTTTTTTTAGTAAAATAAATAGATTGGTATGGACGTCATCTGCTTTTCTTCTGTCATCGTCTGTCGAAATCTTACTTGAGAAAAAAAACAGAGTATAGTCTATAAAG